TTTTCTCTCTGACCGCACTCCGCGTTTAGCGTGCTCTCTTGGCGACAAAAATCGTTCGATATCTCGGCGGCGCCCGCAAAGCGCGAGCTAAAACTTTCAGGAATTGATATTTTGTCCATACCCGACGTGTGTGCAAAATTTAAAGAAAATCTGAGCGTCGCACTTGGGGTACTTCCCCTGTTAGTAGAAACCATCAAGAATTTTACGTTGTTATACTTCAGTGCAGCACTGGCGCTCATTATTTTTCCGACAAGGTGATAAAAATTTAGTACCCGAATTTTGAATCCACCGCTATCAGTTACTGAAAATTTTAGCTTGCGCTTTGCTGCAGCAATTGTTTTCGGTCACTAAAGAGAGCCTTGCCGCCAAGAGTGCACGAAACACGCGGCCAAAGAAACATATTTTAGCCACACATTTGAAGGTTCGGGTCAAAAAACATTTTTTTTTGTGGAAACATTAGCTCCAACGGTGGAAGTGATCGCGAAGTTATTCATATTAAAAATCGCCAAAATTAGAAAATTTATGAACAAATTTAGGACCAAACATGTTGTTGTCTCTGCAAAGCGTTAGCTTGGAATCACCACTTTTTTCGTCTTTGCAAACTCTTTGCAAATTACCCCGCTCATCAAAAAATGATATGTAACTAGCACAAACCAACACTACATCCGACACCAACTATCATAAACCAACCGCAAATGGGCCGAATTGTAATCGACTAGAAATATCAAAAGTAATTATTCAGTTTACTAATAACTATTCAGTTTATTATAATATTCCCAGAAAGCCAAGTAGGGTAAACAAGTCTGCGCTATATATTATAATAAAAAAATGACGCGTTTATAAGAATGAGTGTAAGAATTTACTTGAAAACCAAGGATCTTGAACCTATGGAAACATGTTTTCAAAAAGATAGATCAGCTGGGCTAAATGCTCAAATTTTACCGGAAAGATTTGTGTGATACGCGGAAAAATTTCAGCAAAACCTGGGCGTTTATCCCACAGTGGGGGACCTAATCCAGTATCAAAAAATGTGCCATTTTGCATCCGGGAAGCATCAAAAATACGGCAAAATACCTCCCTCTCCAAGTGGAAAAAATCCGGTTTCAAAAGCCCGCTTTTTTGTGAGGGAGAGGGCGCGCCGGTCAAAATGCCTCCCTCTACAATTTTTCACTTGTAGAAGGAGGCATTTTGCGATTTTTTGATTTCCCGGGTGCAAAATATTAGGTTGTCCAACAAATAATGACCCTCCTTGAAAAATTTACTTTTTTGGCGAAATTTACCGTAATAACAGCGATCTATGTAATCAAAATAGTTATCATTTGGTTTAACACGCTTTTTACAACGTGCCAAAAAACTTTTTATGTCTGTAGCTTAGAAACTCCGGCTTCTGGAGCCGACGAAACTTTTGAAGGCCTTTTCAAGGGCGTCTCGATTGTCGAATTCCCTACCACTGATGAAACGTGCTAGATTCTTGAACAGGTGGTCGTATGTACAGTCCAGTTTTGACAAATACGCTGGACGAGGGACAGTCTTGTATCTCTATTAAATCGGCTTTTGGAGGGTCATTTTTCAACGGTGAGGTTCCTGTTGCTGCTATGAATTTTTGGACTTCTGCGGCGCATCGTTGAAGGCAGATGCTGCCACAAACTGTCTATCTGGATACAGTAGGGGATGGTATTTACATTTTGGCCAGCTTTCAAGAAGCTATATTTTACTATTCCCATGCTGCACCATCAAGAAGTAGTCATCACCTTGTTTTGGGGGGAGTCGGGCTTTGACAAGTGCCACGGTGACGCTCGGGGAGAACTCCATTAGGCGTGTCTCGTCTGATTGTCGTAGTAGACCCGTTTTTCATCATAGGCCACGATATGATCCAGGAAAATTGTTTTCCGGCACGCAAAAACGAGAAATGTGGCGCCTCCATTCTTTGCTTTGATCCAATAATGTGGGAACAAGTTGCCCAGCTTTTGTTGAATTTAATCAACGTCGAAGAGTTAGCTCCCGATTATTTCAACACCCAGGCGATGTCAGAGATGCGTCGGATGTTGATTCTAGGATGGGCGTCAACCAATGACCTCAGGGTAAATTCATAAAGTTTGGATGCCGTACTTTATCTTTGGGTCCCTCGTCGTCAGATCGGAAATTTTTAAACCACCGTTTCACCATATTCAGACTCAGAACACACTAGCCGAACATAACGGTGATACATTACGTAGCTTCTGAAACTTTCGCATCCTGTTTTTGCCCGTACAAGATGATAGTGCGAACCGACCTTTCTTTGATAATTTTTGATTAGCGCTAAATTACTGTAATTTGGTCTAAATACGGCAAACGATATATCAAACGAAAGCCCGAGGTCTCAGCTACAAAATGGTATAATATTTCGAAATTCCATCATCGCTTGCCTTGTTTAGAGACTTTTGACTTTGCCCCTCTCGAAGAGGGTCATTATTTGTTGGACAACCTAATATTAGGTTTTTTGTCACTGGATCAGGTCCGTCACTGTATTAGTATAATATTAGATGACGCTTTGCAAAACAGCCAGCTAGATCTTGTTTAAAATCAAGGAGGATGATTGAACGTCCCGACCGAAGGCAAGGGGTGTGTAGCCATCATTTATGTTGTGCATCAATGGCGGATTTGGAGAAACTTTGTGCAATACAGATTGTAGAAAAATAAGAAGTGAAGGGCAAACAAAATCTACTGTTTTGCACCAATTTTTAGATAAAACCATGCATATTCCTACTACTACCTCATTCCCTTATGTTATTGTCGTCTGCGTCATCTTGACTATATTTTTGTCTATTGTATTCTCATTATCATCACCTGAAGCACACACTGTCTCTCCGCCGCCAATCCAGTCCTCTGACTCATGCGCTCAGCGCTGATCCACGCCGATAGCCAAAATTATCAGCGTAATGCGCGTGTTAACAAACAATGAGTCAGACGGGAATAAATAGCGACCGGAAGCCGGAAACGGGGCCATAACATGCGGCTGCGAGAGGATTAGAGTCGCGCGCAGATCGCATCCGTCCCACTTGTGGTCAGTGCGCGTCCCGAATCCCCTCCCACACTCAGCTCCGTCATTCATGTCCATTTTCTCGAATCAGAGCCCTTGAGACGGCTTCGAGATGTTCACGTTTTCGGCGGGTAAACAGGGGCCGTGGGGTCCGTGATCTGGATGAGAGGGGCGAGTCATTTTTTGAAGTCATCGTTTTTGAATTTAAGTAGGAGACGTTGATGGGTTGGAGCTGGCGAAAATTTGGGTTGATTTTAAAGTAATGAGAATTTGGAGGAGATTGACTTGGTTATTGAAGAAGTGACCTGATAAACGTCTAACTGCTTTGAATCACCGTCATTTTTGGAGCTATAGAACTTCATTGTGGTCTGAAATTTTAATTAATCCCCTTGCAAGCCACTTTCCATTTATTTTCCTTCGTTTGAAAGCTCATTGATACCATGAATGTATTAGTTCATTTCTAGATTTGTGCGGCGTGCTGTGACAAAACATAGGTTGACTTTGAACTGTCGAATTTGTTGCCTTTTGCACCATGCAATACGCTTTTTTGGGCCGCTCGCACCTTGACATTTCTTGCACAGTGCATGTCACAAAAATCAGTGGCATTGCGAACAGGCTAGTATCAAGATTTTATTTTTTTCAGTCAAATCAGGGAGCTATAACATTTGTATTTCGGTATATAGGATGGGCGCTCGAGCTCATCACCGAAAGGCTTCGAAAAATTAATTTTTATATTTTTATTCTGTGTTGATTTGCTCATCCATTTTTTTATTTTATTTTCATTTTCTCAAAAGCTGAATTATATAAATTTTATTTCATATTTCCAATAAAAATCTTTTCTATTATGCTGCTAATGTATCGACGAGAATGCGTATTTTACCCTCTTCCGCCGTATTTTCTTCCACTTTTTTCCTACCAGAATACCAGAAACTTTTTAAAAAACCATTTTGTTTCCAGAAGCGTGGATCTCGTTGGAAGCCGAGTGAAAACGAAGAAAAAAAATCTAAACGACTGGACCGTTCTGCGTTTCGAAACGGGGAGAGGTCGGTTCCGGAGCGATGCGCGTTTGGTTGTTGTTGCACGGAGTTGCGGGTAAGATGTGTGGACTTCGCTTGGAAGACGTTTTTTACAAGGGCGTATTTGTTTTTTAAACCGACCTTTCAAGATTACGGATTTATTTTAACTTTAAAAGTCAGTTGAGAATAGACAAGCTAGAGTGTATTTTTCGAGGGAGAGGCCTAAAGATAATGGATTAAATTTTGATAAAACTTGGTGCAAATGGAGCTTATCCTTTACCAAATCGTATGCCAGGTTTTTAGCCTGCGTTTTGCGGAAATAAACAAGTTTTGTTCGATCACATCTAGTCCAAAGTGCAAACGTTCCTATTTTTTTGCGGTAGAGAACGTATCGTCCGTACGAAGCGGTCCGAGTAGTCTTTTTTATGTTTTGAACAGAAAAAAATATCTTTTCCCCGAATTCAAAAAAATAGTACTTAAGACAGCATGTTAACTGAACATTGTCATACAGTGGTGGACCTGATCCAGTGGTAAAAAACGTAGCATTTTGCATCCGGAAAGCATCAAAAATTTGGCAAAATACCACCTTCTCCAAGTGAAAAAGCACCAATTTCAAAAAGAGCGCACGCTCATTTTGTGAGGGAAAGCTTTTAGTTGAAGAGGGAGGTATTTTGCTACATTTTTAAAAAAGATGAAAATGGCATGTTTTCTGCCATTTTATCAGATCTGTCACTGTTTTAGGGTCTTTCGCACTCTATGGATTTTTGTAATGACTTTATCCCCATGTGTTCTTTCTATCACCTTTGATTGCATTTTCAGCTCTGTGCACGCTAGGCTCTTGTGCAATATTCAACAAACTCTCTCATTTAAAAAAATCACAAAAATTCGAGGCTTCCTCGACAATACCATCACCTCTAAGCTCCTCAACGAAAACGAATCAAACCACGAGACTTGGCCAACTATGCATGACTGTCGAGCATTTTCGTCCATTCTCCAACGACTCCCAGAGTTTTTACGAATGCGCTCCACTAACCGAAGAGGAGCGAGAAGAATATCAGATAACGGGCAAGTATCTGGGCGTCTGGACGAAGCGCCGGTGCTCCGCGGAGCATGCGTTTGACGCGGCAAAGCAGAAATGTATTGACAAGAAGAAGTTGCATCGACAGCGAGCGCAGTGTCAGCAAAACCCGGGTTCGTTCGGCTGTCAGCAATATTGTCAGCCAACGGAATGGGCTCAGCCAGCTGTTGGAGCGGCGTGCAATTGGCAGTACAGTTTGCTGTATTATACGCCCGAGGATACGCACGGATTCTTGCAATGCGCTCAGACCAGTGCATCGTGAGTTTTAATGCTTATAATTTTATTTTTTGGCTATAGAGATCCATGTGGTGAATGGATCCGGATTGACTGCCCTCTGAATACAGCGTTCGACATCAATATTCAACTTTGTGTTCCTTTGGCCGTTGAAGCTGACACTTGTTCGGCAGCAAACCAAGTGGCGGTCTGTAAATGTGGAACTAACTCGCATTCTTGCCCGGGGATTTCGCAATGTACTGACGTGAGTTAATTTTGCCTCATTTTTAAGCCGGTTGAGACGAACTAAGCAACTGGGACCAAAAAGAAACGGTTTATAGTGGTTCTTTGTTCAGTCCTAGTGTTATCATTATGTTACAAATGCTGAACTGTTGTGCAGGGTTTGGCTTGTACAACTCTGTCAAAAAATTCGGCTATTTGATCAATAAATTCAAAGCCTCTAAGCCTCCAACAACAGATCATTCTATAATTTTTAGGGGGTGTGTTGTGCCACCGTCAGCCCATACGACATGGTAGTCTCCGACCATCCCGCTTTATACCAAGCCTCGGCTTCGGCCTGCCCCGGCAGTGGGACCTACCCAGTTTCGATGTGCGCGTCCTCTTGTCCGCAAAGTAAGCATTTTTAAGCTTAAAACAGCGATAATTTCCTCTTTAGCCTATACCTGTCAACCCAACGTCGGATGCTGCCCTATTATTTCGATTGTCCCTCCACCAGCTCCAGCACCGACTCCAGCACCAACACCAGCGCCAGTTCCAACACAGACAATCGTCTTGCAATTAACTACTTGTCCAGCGTCGAATTCTCAACCGGTCTCGTCGTGTGGCTCTTGCCCAACAGGATATATTTGTGCTCCTTTGTTGGGGGCGTGTTGTCCAGCGCCGCCACCAACAACAGAAGCGCCGGCGCCGCCGCCGCCAGCGCCTCCAACTGTTCCAGCGCAAATTGTCATGCTTTGCCCGAGTAGGCCCTAAATTTACTTTTGTATGCCTTTAGGTGGTCAAATGCCAACCCAGCAATGCGCGCCAACCGCACCATCTTGTCCGGCCGGCTCAAGTTGTTATAACGGAGTTTGTTGCCCATGTCAATGCCCTCCAAGCACAATGATGCTGGGAATATGTCTTCCCGCAACTCCAGTGAGCCCGGCTTCCTCCTGTGCAAGTGGAGCGACTTGCCAAAACGGTTGTTGTTGCAGCCAGCAGCCACAAATGCCGGTGTGTTCGAATGGACAAGTGTCGGCGCAGGTTTGCTCGAGCACCGTGGTAAGTATGATCCTTGTATATAGCGCTTCTAGCATATGCCGACGTTCAGTTGAGTCGTTAAAGGGCTTTGCTATTAGCCGTTGTCTCCAGTATAGCCCATTAGGCCGCTAAAGATTTCTTGCAATAGACAGGCTTTGCTCAAAAGAGTTTTCTCGGCCTTTAAACCAATCTAACACAGTAAACTAACAACACAAGAGTTATATTCCCACTTTCAGCAATGCGGCGGCGGCATGGAATGCTCCAACGGTGGTTGTTGCCCAATTCCCTATTGTCCGACAGGTCAGCAAGCCATTGGTCACTGCTCCGCCGGTCAAACTTGCGGCGGAGGAAACACAATTTGTCTTGAAGGCCTTTGTTGTGTCCTCCCCACCTGTTCTACCGGTCAACCGGCACAGTCCATCTGCACGGCATCGACTCAATGCCCAGCGCCGAGTGTTTGTCAAGGCGGCGGCTGTTGCGCTCCGCCTACGTGCCCGACAGGAGCCCCAGCCACAAGCACATGTCCTTCGTCATGTCAACAACCCCAGCCGATCATAATAAACGTGCCGGTGATGCCGCAGCCCGCGCCTGCCCCAATGCCCGCTCCTCAGCCGGTCTGTTGTTCGAGTGGTCAGCAATGTGTCAACGGTGGTTGCTGTCAGTTGCCAACTTGTCCGACAAATTCTCAGCCTGCAATAATGCTGTGTACGGCGACAACTCCTTGCCCAAGCGGGACAGAGTGTACCAATGGAGGTTGTTGTCCATTGCCGTTGTGCCCGAGCGGTCAACAAGCGTTGGTTAGATGCAGTCCATCGAGCCCTTGTCCTGGAGGAACGGTAAGTTTTTCTGAGTTTCCAAAGAGCCTTGCCTTCCATCATCACCATAATAAAGACACTGACTTGACTGCTTCTTCAGACCTGTACCAACGGCCTTTGTTGCACGTTGCCCGTCTGCACGTACGGCGGAAATGTTGCCAGCAGTTTCTGCGGCACCTCTAACGCTTGCCCTACTGGCTATTACTGCGAACGAGGAGCGTGCTGTCCAGAGCCCATTCCACTTTGTCCATCCGGTGGCAGGTCTGTAATGCAATGTGTGAAAGGATCGGATTGCCCATCCGGTTATGGCTGCACGTCTTCCGGTGGTTGTTGCCAACTTGTTACCGACTTTGTCTGTCCGATGAACGCGTTGCCGATTTGTCAATGCAGTCCAACATTGTCTTGTCCTGCCGGAAGCGCGTGCAACTCGGGAATGTGCTGTACGACCGGTAAGTTGAGAGAGAATCAAGTCAGTACAGGCTATGAGAGTAATTGAGGGCCGGCTTTAATATTCTTTAGCTAAATTGTCAAAGACTAGCCCAAGACTCGCAAGAAAGCCATAGTAATCCCTTCCTCTCCATTCCAGGTGCAACCGTCGCCATGGCGGTTCCCGGAACGACTTGTCAGGCATCCCCTCAATGTTCTGGATATTCCTCTTCCGGCCCTGGTGCTCAATGTCAAGGCGATATTTGCATCTGCATCAAAGGAGCATTCTCCAACGGCGCCGCATGTGAGCCTCAAGCCCCGATAGTAATCGAGCTAGCCAGGAATGGATGTGATCAATACGGAAGTCCCTGTAAATATATGCTGAGTTCGGCTAGACGACGGCCAGTTTTCTCGCCGACAAAAAATGCCACCGAAACTCCATGTAAGTGGTGAAAGTTCAACGTCTTTTATGTATTATTTGTGGATGATTATATGTAATAAAAAGCTGTTTTTAGTGTGGTATAATACGGCCGCAGCAACTATTCGTCGATGTCCTAGGTCCTCGCCGGACAATGAAACAAGCCCGGACAACACTTGTTTGCCAAATGAAACCTGTGTCAAAGGAGAATGCCGAATGTAAGTATTGCTTACATAGAGGTAGCCTAGCGCGGCACTCACACATAGGCCGCATGCCAACTTCAGAAAGTTTTGGCTCACGCTTTGCTGTCCGAAATATTTGACGACCTTGCGGCCTAAAGAGCATGCAAAATTCAGAGAGCGATTACAGAGAAAAACACTTTTAGGCCATATCTTTGCCAATTTTGTGAGAAAAAATCATTTTTTGCCAAAACATTACACTTTTCGGTAGAAAAAAGGCTTCATGTTTCCCTAAAGTTTCGGCCTTAAAATCTCCGTTGTTCCTGTAAAGAGCAAGCTTGGAGTCTCGCATATGTCTTATAAAAAATTAATCTAAATTTATGACAAGTTTCAAGAAAACATAGGCGTAGCACTGGGGGTACTTTCACTGTTGAATAGCATAGCTGAAAGAAACATTTTTCTTAATTTTACGCCCCCATTCGCTAAAAAAGAGTTTCTGATTGTTTTCTTGCCTTACATGACTTACAGTTAGCAACCTCTTTTGTCATAATTCTTCCTGAAATACCTTACTCATCGATCAGGCCAAATTACTTATATACTTTAGGCGTCTCTGGCCCGGGGAATATGGCTGCGAATCAAATGCTGAATGCTCTTCTCGGTGTAAAAACACATATTGTGAGCACAAAACGGACAAAGGAGTTTCGCAATGCCAGTGTTCCAATGGACTGCTACTTTACGGACGATGCTGTAAGTCTTTTATTACAATTTCAGTCAACCCTTCTATATCACCTATCTTCAACCCCAATTTTTAGTTGAAAAATGCCCCAAAGGCTTTCACGAAAGTGGTGCGCTCTGCGAACACGACGATGAAGATGCGTTTTGGGCAAGTCCAGCGTCTCAAAATAGCCTTCAGAAGTTGTTAAATACGGGTACCTGCTAAATCATTCTTCACAGTATTACAATATAGACGTCTTTCAAGATTTTATTCCGTCTTTCACGTTGTGAAATGCATTTTTTATACATTCGAAATATTTTGTTAACCTCGAGATATCTACGATATTTAGTCAGTTATTTTGACATTTTTTCATTTTGTGCCATATTAGACTAACTAGTTATGTTTCTTTTTCTTACGATAAACTTGAATTACGGTTGAAACAGTAGTATTTATTTAATTTTAAGTCATTTAGAGAAGGTTAATTATTATAGATTTGTAATTATATTCTAGCGCTTAACAGACGGCTTCGGCAAGGGTTGCTTCTGATTTTTCTTTTGTGTTATCAGATGATGAAGAAAATGACGGGTTCTCTGAAGCGGCAGAGATCTCTGCCTTCTTTTCCACAGTCTCTGGAAGTCGTCGGAGAACGAACATAAAAGGCGCGATGATGAGATTCGAAACAGAGATTACAATCATCAGTCTGAAAAAGGGGGAAACGGTGATTACTGTACTATTTAAATATTCAATGAAACAAAGGGTAACTCTCGGAATGACCAGGTGAAATTGTTTTAAAATTTTCTGAAAGCAGTCCTTGTAGCATAAATATTGATTACTGAGATATTCACCTTTACTGTCTCAGAATATTGGACATATTCAGTTGTTTTTGCAAGGGACCATTAAATTAAATTTTTCAAAAATTGCCATCTAAAATTGTGTCAAACGCTACTATAAATAGTACAGTTGCTAGTATCACTTTCGCCATTCGTTATAAAAAATTATTCCTTCTTTAAAATGTAACCTTAACTCACGTTAAAAATCCATAGTACCGAACCACCGGTCCAGCGACGAACGGTCCCACAGCAAACGCTAAACACGCCGCCGCATCGCCGATTGCATACACCGACCCATAGACCGCGGTATGTCGTAAATCAGCGATATGGCCGAGCATTGGAATGAGATTCGTGTCAACCAAACCAAGACCAAATCCAAGAATTGCATTGGGAATTATCAGATGGTAAATATTTTGGGCAAACGGGATCTAAAGACACGTTCTATTGATACTTTATGGAGCTGGCATGGCTTTTAAGAAAGCCAAAACTTACTACCAAAGCCATGGTGGCGATCATTAAGAACCCAGCGAAGCTGCAGAGCCATCTCCGGAAGTGTTTTGATAGGAATCCAAAGACATTTGCCCCAATCAAGTAGGCCAAAGAGCTGGGGAGAAACGCAATCCCTTGCAACGCCGAATTGGAGCCCCAATTCTCCACCATGTACAGAGGCAAAGCCGGCTCCAACATTGAAAATGCAAAGTTACCAAACCACAAGCCGACAGCGACAATAATGATATAGGGATCGGTAAGGAATTCGGAGTAATTTGTGGGCTCCGGTCGAGCCTTGGAGACTTTGGGTCGGAGCACAATGAACTGGATTAATCCGACTATCAATGAAAGCGTGGCCAAACTGACAAACGGCAAGACCATCCCACCGTAATGGTATAGGACCCCACCGACCACAGGCCCCGCCAAGATTCCAATAGCAATCCCGCCAAAAGCCAGGGAAATTGCGCGACCTCGCTCGTGGTTGTCGGGAAAAGTGTCGGCGAGAAATCCCATCCCAGCAACGGCGCTGAAACCCGCACCAACTCCATTCATTCCTCGGGCGATCAACAGCATCCAATAGGACGTGCTGAATGCGAACATCAGAGAGGAGGCAAATGTGATCATGAAGCCGCAAAAGACCGGAATTGCATAGCCAATTCTGAAGCGGGGGTTGTGATTAGATAAAAAAAAACGCAAGTTATAAAACGAATTTTTTTTTGTGTACCATATCCGATGATCACAATATCACGTGTCCCTCAAAAAATTCCTATAATTTCCGGGTCGACGGTACTATTGGTCGTCTCTTTTCGTTCCTGTATGCATCCCGGAAGCTAGTAGAAGGATTAACCAATAGAAATAATACGATTGATCGGGTTCTGAGATAGCGTATGACCTCTTTTGGTGCATTTTACACAATTACATAAGAGTCTTCATTCTTTGGAGTAAATTCTGGCCCATCTATGCCACAGCAGCTCAGGATCAAGTACAAAACTTTGCACGGCTCCCCGACGTATTTTCTGGCTCCTATAGACGATTTGCCCACTTTATATCGTAGCCAAATGTCTTGCATATGTATGCCTTAGAAAATAGTAATCTCATCTTGCACAAGGTTTTGCCAAAATCACATGTTTTCACCACGTTGTACACCATATCTAACCTTCAAGACCAAGCAGGAGACAAGCTTTACCTGTACGTCATATGCGACACCAAAATACCAGCTGGAATTTGAACAACCGCTTTGGTTCCCAACAATAACGCGACTGGGATATTGGTTGACGCGAAAGCTTCATGATACTCTCCTTCATGAGTGACCGCAGTGAAATTTGTAAGGTTGACCCGATGCAACGAAGCCTCGAGGTATGCCGAATCGTTGTTTCCTTTGATTCTGATGAGGTAATCGGGGAGAATTGGGACTGAAAACGGTAGCTTTAAGAAAAGAGAGGTAAATTTATACAGAGGAAATTGTTTAGAAGGTGAAAAAAAAGAATGATTTTCTGCAAAAAATCGTTAAATTTATAAAAACAGCGGAAGTTAATCGTTGTTTTTGAATGTTAATCCGTTAAGCCGCACATACCAACAATGGAAAAGAGAATGTGATCAATAAACAAGGCCAGAAATACAGTGAAAATGACAACTTTTCCTCGATGTTTCTCTCTGAGTTCCTCCAACATCTTTCTTATCCCTTTAATCTTGGAAATATTTCAGAAAATGTTCTTTTCTGACCTTTCCTGGCCACAAGCCAGCCTTAAATATCAAGGGTCTGCCGTCGCGATTTGTATGCAAATCCGACGAGCTAAACATACGTCGCTTTAGCGGGTCAGAGATCCCGTTGATTGGCCGGAACGTAAGCCCGCTGCAGAGCGCGGTACATAGAAGTCGAAGAGATAAAAAAAACGGGACATGGGATCAGGAATTTGCAAGTAGTCGACGTGTTGTAAAGTTTGAGAGAATAGAAACTAGAGAGCAGGAGATCAGCAAGTATTGTTACTTCTGAAAAATGGAGGCGATGGTAGACGGTTGGGATTACGGTAGGCATACGAATAAAACATGTAAATGTTTACTATACGCCTAAACGGATTAATGTAGAAGGCTAAAATCTTCCTGTGTACAGCTGTAGTTCAAGTTTTATCAAGATTTCTTGACACCCTAGGCGTCTTAAATCCATAAAAATTAAATAAAAAAGTCGAGTAAAGACTTCTTTTTACAGTACGTTCCAGAAAAAGAAAAAAGAAAAATCGCGATTTTTATGTTTTATTTCAAGTTTTCATCCAACTTTAAATATTATATAACAGGATGCTATATATAGGTACCGCGTATTTTTCAATTTACTTGCATTCTTCATTGTACAAAAAACTTCAAACTCAATTTTTATCCTTTTTATTACAACAAACAGACCCGTTTTCCAGATTCTAAATGAAAATTTCGATATTTTACACATATGGACAACAATTGTAACACTGATTTACAATTTGGCACAATTTGTTCGTTCTTTTTGATTTCCTTGAAATCTGCTTTGAACAAGGGGGTTTTTAAAGCATTGGACGGATAAAATGGCATAGAATGGGGTGATCAAAAATGTGCGTTAAACATGAGATGACTTGACAATATTGTCGATGAAAGAAAAACTAGGGAAGTACCTATACAGTGAGGGACCTGATCCAATGGCAAAAAACGTCTCCTTTTGCATCCCGGAAGGGGCCAAAATGACTCCAAACCCTTCCCGTCTCTAAGCTAAAAAACTCCGCTTTGAAAAGCGCGCCCTTTCCTTCAAGGCGGGCTCTTCAAATCGGGGTTTTTTAGTTTAGAGAAGGGAAGGGTTTGGAGACATTTTGGTCCCTTCCGGGATGCAAAAAAAGTCGTTTTTTGCCATTGGATCCCGTCCCTCACTGTAAGTGCGGCGCTTATAGCGTTTGTAAATTTTCTTCACGCGCCGGAAATAGGCCATATACCAATTCCTGAAAGTTTTAGCTTGCGCTTTAGAGGGGCAGCCGAGATATTCAACGGTCTTTGCGGCCGAGAGAGCACGAGAAACGCGGAGAGCGGTCAGAGAAAAAACTTTTTGGCTATATCTTTGCCAGTCTCGTGAGGAAAAATTGATTTTTTGTGGAAAGATTACTCTTTGCGGTAGAAATAAGCATGAAACTTTACATGTCAAAATTCACAAAAAAATCATACTTGATCTAAAAATCCCAGCGTCGCACTGCGTACTTCCCTAGAGAGTTGAATATGTACAAACCGTAGGCAAAATAGCAAAAAAATACGAAAAAACATATTGATAGAAATAACAACAAATTGCAGAATCTTGTCAAGGCACTCGATTCAAATAGTCATCCGTTACGATAACCGTTGACTTTGTGCTATATGTATCAAATTGATCGTTGTTTGGGAGTGAGCCCAGGCCGAACTTCCCGAGGTTCCGCTCCATCGTGCTGACTAGCTGAAAATAAAAAGACTGTGGAGTGGAAACGAAAATAAAAGCTTTGCATACGGACTAGCAACTAACAATAAGCAATTTCCAACTCCTCCTTCAAACATGAAATTCCCTGAACCCCAAAATCGCAAATTTCAAAATCTCACCTTCCGTTTGCGGATCAGCATTTTGAAGCAGACCATTTTCACATACAAAAAGTAGAGTTGTTCCAGGAAAATCAGGTTCAACGAGCTGAGTAATACGACCATCGTCCAGGTCACAACCTCGGTCTCGACCAGCAATGCGGACACCCGGACAATCAGCCAAACCAGTGTGGCCAGAACAAGACCCGAACAGAGGAGGTAGGGGAGTTGAAGATATGGCAGGACCGTCTTCAGTGATACGACCGCCGCTAGGCAGGTGGACAGCCAGACTATCTGAAAAGCGTTTTTTAGGATTTTTTTGTGGAAACATCGGAATTAAAAAATTTTTTAAATTTTTGGCATTCTGTTGCAAGTATTGAAATTTGTAATATAGGTGTGCAAATGACCAAGAAAGTATTTGTAAACGTTTTAAAACAATATTTAATAAAGTAGTCTCGATTATAGACAGTATTCTGATAAAAGAATTGAAATTTTTTTTTCAAAAAATTTGCAAAGATTCAAAAAATTTTTAACTGAAAATTAATAAAAAAATTTTGTTTTTTCAGTGCCCCGTTTCTCACCTGTATTGCCATCAATGGCATGAGCATGTTGAACGGCGCCACCGCACTCAACATGCTGTTACTCGTCGTATACTTATCATCTCCACCAATCAAGTTCGTTATTGTGAAGATCAGCGAATGTGAAAGCAGTAGCAAGTCGAGCACTACGAACGACACGAACGTCGACTGCACCATGAACAAGCCGAAGCAGCAGTGCGATCGGCTGGAGGCGGTGCCGTTCGAGGAACAACTGTCCTCTTGCCCCGTGCCCATGGAAGAACGGACCGCGGAATGGCGGCAATTTTTAGTTGCGGCACTGAAATTGAGGCAATGATTATGCTGGATATTCGATGGTTTTTGCAAAACGCGAAAAATATTTATATATGAGTAAAAAATTGGAATTATGTATGAGAAATTGAAAGTGGGACTATTGCCATTAGTAGTGAAGTTTTTGACGTGAAGAAGACCGAATTAAACGACAGTGGGCTCAAGTTTAGAACATACAGTGAGGACCCTGATCCAGTGGCAAAAAAAACGTACCATTTTGCATTCGGAAAGTATCAAAAAAATGCAGCAAAATGCCTCCCTCTCCAACTAAAAAAACTACGTTTTGAAGGACGCGCCCTTTCCCTCACAAAAAGAGTGGGCGCGTTTTTGAAATCGGAGTTCTTTCACGTGGAGAACGAGTTATTGTATTTTGGTACATTTTTGGTACTTCCCGGATGCAAAACAGTATGTTTTCTGCCACTAAATCCGGTCCTCCCTGTAGTTTTATTAGGACTATGCTATTTCCCTGGCAATTTTGTCTGCTAGTCCTTTCGGGAAGTACTGAAATCGGCGACAAGCATGGTGAGAAAGCAAAAGTTTTGTTTGCACTGTACAATTTCTTCTTTTTTGCACCGTGCAATAGGCTCTTTTTTGGCTCTCGCTAGCACTCTAACTTTTTTCGCATAAAAAGTTAGAGCAAACACCAAAAATCAGTCCGGCAAGTCTCCGGAAGGACTAGTATGTGAGATCCCTGGGAATTTCGTTTATTTTGGGTGCCTTTCGATGCCAAAAAACAAGTCGCAAAAACACCGGATCACAAAGGTCAATTTTCCGAATTTTTTACTTGGAAAAATAAACTCAAACTAAACATACATCCGGTACTAGTCTTTCTGGAGAGTCACCAGACTGATTCTTGGCGTTTTTTGTACGCGAAAAAAGTCAGAGTGCGAGCGACAGCCCAAAAAAGTGACTTGCACGGTAAAAAACTATCAAAGTGCACAGTGCAAACTGAACTTTTGTTTTCTCACTATGCGTGTCGCTGAAATCTCGTCAGCGACTCCTCGGACCAGCTTTTATTTTGGCTATAACTCTTCCGCTCACTCTCTCCTAGTTTCGCGTACCCTCTCGTCGAAAAAATAATGCTAAATATCCTCTAAAAATTAGCAAGAATCTGAATACGGTCTAGTATTAATAATAAGGCGCTTAAGAGAATTAGACTCCAAAATCCGCCTCGCTTACGGCGATGTATGATCGACTAACCAAACTTCCAAAAACTGCAAAATAAATGCAAACAAAATTACAACCTTCCAATAACAATCTAAAGCCCAATATTAAAATTACACATCTGCCACATACATATTATTATTCTAACCTCAAATTTCCCCAAAAAAATTGTCAATCCCCCGCCAGTTACACCAAGTGCGTGTAAATGCCCTAAGGGGTTAAAAAGAAGAAATCCGACGGATTCAATTGAATAAGCAAATTATTTACGTAAAAACACGTCCAAAAAGTGAACGTCAAAGGCCATTTGAATGCTCCCCACGGCCAGACGGAAGGGAAATGGAGAAAATTCGGGCCCGCTACAAACGTTTTTACACAACTTATGTTCTTTTGGGGCTTCGAGGCACAAAGGTGAGAAAAAATTAAGTTGGTAATGAGGAGAGAATTAGGGGAAAACTTCAAATATTTTTGTAGTCATAAGGCTTGAAAGAAGTGTAAAAATGTGCATACACATTTTTTTAAGAATGGCGAAAGATTCAAAATATCAAAAAATGCAAAAATTGGAAAATTTGAATATTCTTAAAAATTAGCATAATGTTAAAAATTTGCATATCGAGTGCAAAAATCTCATTACGAAATTTCAGAAATTAGAATAATTCAAAAAATTAGCATATTTTAAAAATATAAAAAATTAATTCTGCTTTGAAAATTCCTCTCAAAATTTCACGAAAAATCCCCAGACATAAACGCGAGTTCGAATAACTTTGCATTCTAAGCATGCTTCGAAGATAAAGTCAAAAAATAAAATGTAAAAATCCCCGGCTAAACAAGGAAGTAGAGGCTTTTATAACACTTGTAATACTTTCTCTCGTTCGCAAGGAGCCGGAGAAAAAAGATTGGTCCAAGGAAATTGTTTCGCTCCTTGGGGCAGGGATAACGTCGGTTCACGCAAGGTGATGTGAGCGGTTTTTTGAATGCAGTAATCGTCGAAAACGTGTCGAACGGAAGATACGAAAACGAATTTTTTAGAAAAAAAAAGAAAAATATCTATCACGAGTATCGCAAATACAAAAATTCCAAAGAAAAACAACTTTTGGAAAAGCTTTGATCTTTTATCTAAACTCCCTAGCACATCATCCAACTAGCGTTGCTTCCCAACACACCTCTAAATATAATGAAGAACCCCCAGCGCGATGACATCATCAGACATTCCTTGCACGTTCAGATCTCCTTATTCCGCAAATAGAAAGAAAAAATAAGAACGCAAAATCTTTTCTTTTACTGGCCAGAGAACGTCAGATCTCCCTCCGCAGTGTCATATAATATGTGTGTTTTTCGGAAAAATTAAATTTTTCGAAAAAAAATAATGACGTCAAAAATGATAAGATCCGCCAAAATTAGCCACAGATAAGAGTGTGATGGCGTTGGTGGTGAGGAGCATTTTGTGAAATCGATGTAAACATGTTATGGGAGTATTAAAAAGAGTTGGTTCGTGATAAAAATTAGTTTTTGAAAGAGCTCAGAGATCTTTTGTAGATTGACATTTACAGGTGAGGTGCTAAGGAAAGCTTTGTCTTAAAATCAATTTTATTCATGAGACATTTGCAGAGACATTGACGAAAAACTTTTTTCTGACCGCAAATATCGTTGTAAGAGTCCTCTTGCGCGGGCTGAGGTTTCTAGCAACTGCGATGCTGTCTAGGCATAATATGAGCTCAAAATTCGAAAAAAAGAAAAGCGCCTCGCGTTGAGCAAATCATTTGTCATCAAAATGCTTTCAGTTTTGGTAGAATTTTGATCTAACGACCTCAAGTTCTGCTTTAGATCACAGCACAGTGCAAAATTACTCAAACGGCATTTTCTCCGGCTCCGAGCCGGGAGCCAAAGCCGGAACCGGAAATTTTAGGGTCGGCTCCGGCTCCCGAGCCCAAAGTCGGAGCCAGGCTTCTCAGCGGTCAGAAAAGTAAAAATTTCGCGATCTTGTTAAACCAAATTGCTTGAAAAACACTGCGGAGGATCTGACTTGGCTGCAAAAACGTTGGCGTATGATCTCTGGCACAAATAACTTTTATTTTTGGAAAAATATTTTAAAAAAACATTTTACATAGGAGCCGGGATTCGGAGCCGGCATGTCTTTTTAAATTTTGCACGGAGCCAAGAGCCGGACCAGGAGCTGCAAATTTGGCCTCGGCTCCGGCTCTGGGAGCTAAGAGCCGGAGCCGAGCCAAAATTTTGACAGTGGCAATCTCTGAATACAATTTTTTACCTTAATCTACGTAGTATGATAAAAATTTTTTCATTGGCAAGTCCCTGGGACTGATAAAAATACGAATCTATTGAATTAATCTACCGCTTTCAACGTTATGCGAGTTTGTTTTCAAAAATTATTTTTGACACCTTCAAAAATGCCTTGTTGAACGTATAGCAATTATTCAAGCCATTTATACACTTGGAAGCTTAACTCTAAGCACCTTTTTTGCAACGTTGTTACTGCCAAATCCATCGTTAGAATTTCCTGTTGTAAGCAAGTGATGTCTGATTTCCGAAAAAAAACGTGAGCAGTGCCTAAAAATGCACTTTGTGCCCACAATTTCCAAAATATAAGCCTGTGAATTTCACACCCCTGCCACACTTTTACAATCCCTTTTTTGGCTGATAAAAATATTCCTTTTGTGTTTTGCCCACATGACACCAAAACAATTTCATTACTTTTCCACCACTTTTATATTTTTGTTTCGTATTTCCGGGCCCAAATCCTCCATTCGAGTCCACAAATCATGAGCAAAAATGACCCAACTTTTTGCTAACGAACACCTCAATTCCCAAAGCTGTAATTTCTGACAACAAAAATAAACAATGATTAGTCAATGGGGAGAAGAGTGTAGGGTAAAAACGGGATTTTCTATACGTGAAAAAATAAAAAAAAATAAATAGTATAAAAAATAATAAAATATGACAAAATATGACAATCCAAAAATTTTAAAAAATTTAAAAAAATCAAAATGGAAAAAAATCCAAGATAGCAAATTGAAAAAAAAGAGAACAAGTGAAAATTAGGCATTTAAATTTCTGTAAAATTTTTATATTCCAGTATAATACCGTAAGAACTCGTAGAGAGTGGTCTACGAAGTCCTGACATGCCTTTTTGAGGGCTAACTCAGGAACTGCTTTGTAGAATTTTTCAAAAAAATATGTTTTTGTAACACTGAGACCCCATAACTTTTTTGTGGTATGTTCTATACATAATTTCTAATGACCAGAGGGATTTTATAGATACATAATCTAGGGACTTAATAAATGCATAATTTATGTATAATTTTGTGCCTTTGTCTTCCAATCAACACGACTTTTCACACGATTATCCTTTTCAGATTACTGCAAAAAATAATTTTGTAAAAAAATTTTAACAAAAATTTTTGGGCCGCCGGAATTCTTATCAAATTTTGCCAAAAAAAATTGAAGCGATTCAGGGTTACACAAATGTAATTTTTAAAAAAATCTGTAGAAAAGCTCCAGAATTATTCCACAAACACACCACCGTCAATGAGGACTTCGTGGACCACCTCGCATCAGTCTTTCGGGAAAATATTTGAACCTTTTGCAGTAATTTTGTAGCCTCGCCGCAGTCGCGCATAAAACCCCTGCCCGCGGCTAGCCATCGCAAAGTGATGATGGGCGAGTCCAAGACCCAAAAATCCACATTATTTTCCCAATAGACTGATACAAAATGTCTTGTGATTCCATGACGTACTTCTCTCCGTCTTTTCGGAACAAAATATGTATTG